GTTTACATGTATCAACCCATGGGGTTCACAGATGCCACTTATCCTAATCATGTTTGCAGGTTACAAAAATCATTGTATGGCCTTAAACAGGCTCCTCGTGCGTGGTATGATAGATTTGCCACCTATATCACTAAGTACGGCTTCTGGAGGACCGTTAGTGACACTTCACTCTTTGTCTATAAACGAGGAAATGAAATGGCCTATTTACTATTGTACATTGACGACATCATCCTCACCGCTTCTTCTGACAAGCTACTCACCAACATCATTGCCACACTTTCTCGTGAGTTTGCTATGTGTGATTTGGGGGCTCTTAACCACTTTCTTGGGATCCATGTCAAACGCCAAAATGGCGGGTTGTTCCTGTCTCAGGAAACATACGCCGCTGACATTCTATCCCGTGCTCACATGGCTGATTGCAAACCAAGTGCCACACCCGTTGATACATCGCCAAAATTGAGCGCATCCAGTGGTGAACTATTAGCTGATGGAACATTATATCGCAAACTTGCCGGTGCCTTACAGTATCTCACTATTACTAGACCTGATCTCACGTATGCGGTACAACAAATTTGTCTATTCATGCATGCCCCACGGGAACCCCACTTCAAATTCCTAAAACGAGTTCTTCGATATCTTAAGGGCACTATTCAGCTTGGTTTTCATATTTCTCCCTCCAAATCGAGTCAACTTATCGCCTACTCTGATGCTGATTGGGGGGGGGGGGGGTGCCCGGATTCCCGACGATCCACTTCGGGTTATTGTGTCTTTCTTGGGGAAAATTTGATATCTTGGTCGTCGAAAAGACAGCATACTATATCACGATCAAGCGCCGAAGCTGAATATCGTGGGGTCGCAAATGCTGTTGCTGAAACGAGTTGGCTACGCAACTTGCTTCTGGAATTATTTGTCCCAACTCGCAAAGCAACCATTGTTTATTGTGACAACATATCTGCAGTTTACTTGTCTGAAAATCCCGTGCAACACCAACGTACAAAGCATGTGGAACTCGATATCCATTTTGTAAGAGAAAAAGTCCGCATTGGTGACATTCGAGTTCTTCACATCCCAGTAGATTTTCAGTATGCAGACATCTTCACAAAAGGGCTACCACGTCAACTATTTACTCGTTTTCGATCCAGTCTGTGCCTCCAGTCTCCTCCAGCTCAGACTAAGGGGTGTATTAGTTGTATATTAGTTGTTTATTCTTAGCTGTATATTTTTAGGGTATTTAATATATTCCCTAGTCAAAATATTGCTCCAAAATTAGAAGATTGTAATTTCCTATTTTATAGCTATCTCCTTGTATATGTACAATCTCTGCTGTGGAATGAGACAGAGGAGAATTCAATTGCGTATAAAAAGTACCAAAAATATAGAAGTTATAAATAAAATAATTTAATATTGTTGTGTTTTTATCAAAGAGAGTATATTTGTTTACCAATATAAGAAGTTGTTGATGAAATGAATGAGTTTGAAAGTCGTACAAATGTTGCAATTGATCCAACTCTTAGAAGCCCACCAAGATCATCATAAACGTCAAAAAAATGTTCAAAAAGATTCATCAAAAATATTCCAAACAGAAATAAAAATGCAACAAGCTTATCAAGAAGCTCTATAATTAGTAATACATTAATACTACACCCAAATATATAGGACCCAACAACACAAGTTGCAAGGTAAGTATTCTGTTACCCATTTACGATGTTCAATTTTTTGTGGGCATGTTCATAATGACGATCCCTATTAAAAACCTGATTTTCCCACCTTAGTAAATCTAATATAAAGAACGAATGATCTTTGGTTACTCAAACAAACACAATGCAAAAAATGCAGGCGATTAAATGATTTTCCCAAAGCCCTAAATTCAAAAAGTATTTTTAAAATTCGTTTATTTTTCCCTCCAATGAATTCAAAACCCAATGTTCAAAAATTATATTAACTTTATAAAATCAAAAACAAGTATTTCAACATTTGAAAACCCTAACCTTTATATTGAGGCGTTTCCTCTGCTGCTCGCTTGCTACTGCACCGATTGTTCGAAAGATCTTCAATTTCTTTGTCTTCAATCACTCACAACCATCTAATATGATTCATCACCTCAATTTCTACTTCACACAGGTAAGTATTCCAACCCTTTTAACTTTAACTATGAAATGCGTTACTGCCATGAATCGGAAAATCCATTTCTTTCACACCACGATGTATTGAAAAATGTAATGCAATTCTTTCTTCTTCGATGGTTGTTTGTGCAAAAATGATGTTAGGGTAAAGGTTATTGGTTATTGTTGGAATTGATGGGTTTCTCTTTGAACATTGCATTTTTCTTCGGCCGAAATGGCGACAAAAGAACAATTATACTCTCTATTTTACAAGTAATAATTTAATACTTTTAAATTTTATTATATTTTATATTGAATAAACTAACTTATAATTATTTTATATGCTTTAATAATCATATCATTTACAACATATCAAATATCAACAATATCAACAATTATCATAACTTCAACCTTACGGTTTTTTAATCATCCGATTATTTTTACTTAATTGGTATTTTTTTTAAACATAAGTAAACATATACTAATCTAATGTTTACATTTTTTTAATTATGTTATATCAATAGTCTAAAATATTAAAAATGTATATGTGAAACTAATGGTCCATATTACAAACTTTTAGGTGGTGTTTGTTTTTTGTCTGCAGATCTGTATGGTCTCTTCTGTCTGCGTCGCGCAGACCACTCGCAGACTGTTTGTTTTTTTGAAGACTGCAGACCTAAAAATGTATGCACGCCCTCTTCTTGGCGCAGATGTGGACCAGAGTCTTCTAACATCTTCAGACATCTTCTAGCCTAAAAAAATACATATATCTATATTTTTTTAAGTTTTTTTTAATTTATATTTTTTCCAACTTTATTAATGATAAACAGTTTGAAAAAAAAATTACAAAACTTAAAAAAAACGTTCGACGATACAAACATGATATTTTTGACAAATTTATAAATAAATATTTATTACAATAATAGTCGTTGAAGTTGTTTATATAAATACGAAAAAAAATCATAATATATTATTATATTTTTTTGCTAAATTTTGTAAAACATTATTTACTACACTATCGTCAATTTCTCGAGAAAATATTTATGCTACGTTTTTAATGGATTTAATTAAAAAAATCGAAGTTTATTTCCATCTATTTATGTATCAAATTCTTTGATCCTTAATTATAATGTTTAGTTATAACTTTGCAACCAAAGTTGTTGATTTTTATCAAATATATACGTTAATTCATACCATTTTATTTTTATTTTTATTTTTTATATAATAATACATAAAAGTTGATATAGATTTGTTAATTATTTATAACAAAGTCATAAAAATATTAAAAAAACACTTTGAATTTTAAAAAAATCAGTTTATTTAGATTTCAGTTTATTTTAGTAGTCCGCAGATGTTAAAAAAACAAACAGTCTTCTTTTTTCAGACAGCAGACGTTTGGTCCACATCTTCTACTGCAGAGGTCTACAGATGTGGTCCGCAGACTGCAGACATTTTGCCTCAGAAAAAACAAACAATACCTTATTAAAACTAGGAAAAGACCCGTGCGTTGCACGGGTGAAAGTTTAGTGACAAAAATATAAAAAAGTAAAAATAAAGTGCCAAAAGTATAAAGATGAAAAGTTTGTTGAAAATTTAGTGGCAAAATTAGTAAAAATAAAGTACCAAAACTATAAAGAGGAAAAGTTTGTTGAAACTTTAGTGGCAAAATTATAAAAAAGTAAAAATAAAGTGGTAAAATTATAAAAGAATATAGAAAAAGGGTTTTAAAGACGTAAAAGTGAATGTTTAGTGGCAAAAATATGAAGAAGTAAAAATAAAGCTGCAAAATTATAAAAAAGAAAAGTTTGTTGAAACTTTAGTGGCAAAATTAAGAAAAAATAAAAACATAGTTAAAATTAGAAACATGAAAAGTTTTCTGTTGAAACTTCCCATGTGCTTTAATATATATATATATATATATATATATATATATATATATATATATATATATATATATATATATAGAGGGATAGGTTATATTGAGAACATAAAAGGTTGAGAACGCGAGAACAACTCATGACCAATTATTACATAATGGCGTTATAGGAATTTTACCATTTAATTAAATATGAATTAGTCAATAGAAAATTAATTATTCCTATTTATCATATTTGTAACTGCCGTTTTCCATGAAATTAGCTCTCACAATCAAAAAATATTATTGGATAATTAGAGGTTACGAAAACAACTATGATTTAAATTTATAGGGATGTTGTTGGTATGTAGCATAATTTTACCTTTTAATATTTTGTAACCATGAATGATTGTATGTATTGATTAATTATTACAATGTGGCATAATCAATTATGAGTTTGTAATCCAATCATAATTGATTCAAGCGAGTGAATGTAATCATGTTGATGTTGAACGAATTAATTTTGTTTTCGATAGGTTAGTTGTGAAGAAAAGAAAATGTCTCATTGTGTAATAATGTATGATTACATGTATATGTTATTGTCTGGTAGCATAGATTAACAGTTACATCTAATGTAGACAAATTATTAAGTATCTGGAGTATTGGTAAACCTGTAGTATTCATAAATGCAATAACATAACGAATTCATAGGTGAATATATATGATGTTAATAATACAATTTGATGTTTAAATAAAATGTATATAAATTCATGGCTGAATGTAATGTTTTTACTGGTGTAGAAAATGACACAAAAATAATTTCGGGTGGGGATGGTTGTAGTTCTGATGGTGACGAAAGTCCCAAGGGAGTCCTTCAAAGTGTTGATGATATTGAACGTAGACCTTTTTTAAGCATTAACTTGATTGAATATATATTCATGACTGATTATATGGTTATATACATGACTTGTAAAAAACGTTCTTGATTCGGTGAAGAATCTGATTCAACGAATGAGTCATTCATTAGTAATCTTGTAGATTCATCAGGTGGAACTTCGAAGTTGTGGAATCCCATTCAGATTTCCGGTCAAAGAATTTATGCCTGATGAAGAAAAGGTTTCCTTCGAATCATTAGAACATGCAATAGAAAATAAAACTCACTAACACATTATAAATAATGAAAGTAGTATAATAAAAATATTAACAAGATGATTACCTGATTTTGAATAACCCATTGCAACCGGAACGTGGACATTAGCATGTGGATCATACTTATGTTTTAAACGCTTTCTTTAAAGCAATTCGTCAGAAATAGGGCTCGTGAATTCTTGAGTTGAAGTTACACTTAATTCAGAAAGACATATTTTAAGGTAAGTAATTTGGATATAAGAATTATATAATGAATCTTGCATTAGACACTAACATTGTTCTGGTTTAACTTTGAACTTGGCTTTTGGTTCAAAACTTTATTCGGCTCTTTAGAGTTTGTTATAGGAACTTTGGTAGGTTTATTGCTAGCAGATGCATGATGGTCACAACATGGAATTAATATATATTTTTATAATAATACAAGAGAAGAGAATACTATAACTAAGCTGAAAAGTAAAGAAATACAATGATGATTAACTCTAACATAAACACATTTGTGGGTAAAAATAGGAAACTTCATTGATGATTAACTCTATAAAGGTTCAAATATTAGAAAATAGTGATGAAAAATATAAAATTTATAAATGACAAGCTAAGGTGTAATCATCGACGATTACATGTATATGTAAATGTCACGTAGCATAATGTAATAGTAAAATAAGTCCTTAATCAGTTAAAAAAACACATTACAACTCAAGCTAGGGAAAAAAATAAGACCTTAATCAGTTAAAAAAACGAGTTGAATGTATTGCATAAATCAACAACAAAAAAATTACAACAATATTCTTACAAAAAATGGAATTCATTGAAGACAAAACGATCTTAAGTATGTATTGTTGCCGATTACGAAGAAAGAGTGTTCATTGACGAAAGTCGAGATTACTTCTGGTCGATTCCTGAATGTCGATTGTCCCTCCGATTGTTCGTGATCCATTGCTTTTCTTGAAATCATTAATTTCGACAATGTCGTCATTAATGAACAATTTGGTTACATCAAAATTACTTTGGACTTGGGCAATACCTGTAAAAATAAATTAGTCAACAAAAGTAATTATATATATATATATATATATATATATATATATATATATATATATATATATATATAGTGTGACTACGAACCATCCCAAATATATATATATATATATATATATATATATATATATATATATATATATATATATATATATATATATATATATAGTGTGACTACGAACCATCCCAAATGTTAAGTTTAACAAACTACATGACTATAACAATACAAGTAACCAACCGTGGGGTTACTATTAAGGTGTCGTGACATCTAGTGTGCTTGAGTTCCAAATATAGTGACCTTCAACCTAAATAAGTAAATAATTTAATTAGTAAAAAAAATATTTGATTAAACATAATGAACAAATATAATCTAACTGTAAGTTGCTTATAGTCATCTTTATGTAATGCTTGGATGTGTTAGGATCCGATGTTTCAAGTGCACGATTGTTGGGAAGAAAAAGTTTTGTTGGGTAAATTGTTTATTTTTCCCATTGTAACTTACCACTCCAATAAATCTTCAACTCCACTATCTCCATCAATCCTCATTTTCATTGTAGGGATTTTACTCCTTCTTCATCTCCACTATCTCCATTAGTCCTCATTTTCATTCTATGGATTTTACTCCTTCTTCTTCATCGTTCTTCTTTTTAATTTGGTGAGATTAATTGAAATTATTGCTGTCTTCGTCACTTTTTTCCAAACTTTATCATGATTAAATGCGTCGTGTGTTTCGTCTTTACATTTTCCGGCCATAACCTCGGAATTCGTGCAATTATGTTCTATTTCTTAGGATATGTTTGATATTTTTAGTGAGTTTGTAAATTGTAAGTATTTAATTACAAATGTAAGTCCACATAATTTATAAAAGTCATGAGTTTATATAATGCAAAATACATTTGAGTGATGAGAAAAAAAACACAAAAAACATCAAAATTGATTACATATAAAAGAAACAAAACATTTCGGTAATGCTACAAAAAAGTTGGTTATAAATTGCGAAAAACTTCTTTATAAACAACATTGGAAGTTTTATTTGTGAGTCTGCCATCTTTATCTAAAATTAATAATTTTAATCCCTCTCTGCTTTGAACTCTAGATAAGGCAACATACAATTGCCCATGCGAAAAAACCGGATCATTGAGAAACAAACCAACCTTAGATAACGATTGTCCTTGACTCTTATTAATAGTCATTGCAAAACATACCGCCAAAGGAAACTGTCTTCTTGTGAATTTGAAGAGAATTTTTTTTTTCTGATGGACTTAAAGACATTCTTGGAATAAAAGTTCGGTATTCAATATTAGTTCCATGATATCATACGTGTCTCAATAACACGTTTGCCCAATGATATCACTTGTAGCCTTGTGCCATTACATAAGCCGTTTTTCTGATCAATATTTCTCAGTAACATTACTAGAACACCAATTTTTAAAACTTACTTATGATTTGGTAGACCAGATACTTTGAGAGCGTTTAATACATCAGGTGAGTATAAATTTGCATCAAACTGATCATGGACAAATTTGGACTCACATATGCTATCTGAACTTAAATATTCAACTTCATCTCCTGGAATCTTATTAAGCAAACGGTCGTTTATTTCCTGAAAAACTTCATTCTTTGGAGCAAGTATAGCTCTTTCTTGGAAATAATTTGTATTGTTGTACTTCTCCAAAACTGAAGGATATACAAATCAATTAATGAACCTATAGAATCATCTGGATCATTAATGAGAGTATCATCCGGAATATCAATAATCATTTCGTCGTCGTTCAGACCACCGAGTTTTCCTTCTTCTATATCCAATAGCTAATTTGCAAAATCTCTTATTTTTTCTATATCAGATTGACCCCTTCCAACACTTACCCTCATGTTTTTTTGTTAATCTACGGACTTTGCAATTTTGCCATAAATATGAAGAACTCAAAGAAGTGTTAACAATGTTCTTTCTACTGCCACCCGGAACAACAGGTAGAATTTGTCTGAAATCTCTTCAAAAACAATAACTTTCCCTCCAAACGGAATATTTGAGATGGTAGAATTTTCACACCTTAATACATCTTTCAAAGTTTGATCTAAAGCTTCAAATGCATGCTTATGTACCTTAGGCGCTTCATCCCAAATTATCAAAGATGTTTTTCTTAATAAGGTAGCTAGCTCACTATCTGGATTTATTCTAGAAACAGAATCCTCAGTAAGTTCAAATGGATGTATAAATCGAGAGTGTGTTGTTCTACCACCGGACAATAACAACGAAGCTATCCCGCTTGAAGAAACATTTAAAACAATATGACCATCCGATCTAACTGCTGTAGATATTGTCTTCCACAGAAAAGTTTTACCCGTTCCACCATAACCATAAACGAATAACACACCTCCTTGATTTTCTTTAACAACACTCATGATGTCAAGGAAAATGTCACGTTGCTCATTTGTTAATGCAACAAACATACTATCAAACTCATTCTTTATAATGGGAATGTTGTAATCTAGCTCCTCGGTGATAAGTCGATTGTTTGAAGAACAAACTGATTTAACATCTGGGTAAGGCATCTTTGTAAATTTTTTGAGAGTGGAGTTGTTTCGAAGTAAAATTTGTTTTATTTGAAACAAAGTTAAGTTCTTAAGTTCATCTTCACTAAGTGATAAGTCTGCACCAGAAATTATAAATTAATTAGAAAAAATAAAATACAATATTTTTTTAATAATTTAATTATTATCTAATGGGGGTTGAATACTAAAATATTTTCATTTTAAGTAAAAATGAAGAATTTTTTTTAATACCTGGAGACTTGAACCTTTGTTGTTGGTTATATAGAATTCCATCCGCCAAATATTCCCATGTATTTTCCCAAACGGCTTCTGGTCTAGAGATAATTTTACACATCAACAATATAGCAAATAAGAAGCGTAAATAAAAACCAAATCCAGAATGGCTTGCTTCTTTAATTGCATCGATGTATTCCTTGTCGTCATCCAATCGTCTGAGTGCATAACAATCATCTCTAAAAGAAGAATATGTTTCACCATTTACCGTGCAAATTTCATCAAATGAGGTTGGATCTTTAACTTTATTTAAAAGAATCCTTAAGAAATAAGCTTCATCAAGATTAGGTGAAACCGAATGAATTCTACCAATGGCTTATTCTACTTTCCTTCACTTCCAAAACCTTCCATTTAATTTCCTAACAAACTTTGTAGGAAATTAAACATATGTAAGTTCTCATGCTTCACTATTAATTGCATTACACTCCATCCAAGCTGTGAACTTTGAAGCAGCAACAGAAGGTTTGTCCAAAACATCGTCAATATCATCGTCTTTGCCATATATAATCTATTGTTGATTAGGAAGATGAAAAGGTAGTCTGACCACAGATGCATACCTGTAATGAACATCATATTTAAAAATTCCCCATGATGCTTCACATGCAGATAAATATCTACAATCGTAATATTCAACTATTTCATCGACCACATCATTATTTTCACATTCATTGTTGGTTTGTACAACAACAAATGTAGTTCTATCAGGACCCTTGTTTATGTATTTAAACATGTACTTTATAGAAGATCCCTGATTGCACCATTCAACATTAACATGTGTCTGATATCTTTTCAATAGATATTTGTTGTAGGGGACAACATTTCTATTATCCAACTTGACACCCGATTTTTCTACGAAATGACCATCGTTTCTTCTCCTATATAAGGGGAAACCATTTTGATTAACAGACGTATGATGAAAAAATTGTTTTGGAAAGTTTTTAGAGAACTTTTTCTCCACCATGCATGGACAATTCATATTCATAGCTCCACATGGACCATGAATCATGAACTCATTGACAAGTGAATACAATTCTGGATCTACAATTTTGTCTGGTATCTCGGCTGAAATTATCGGATCGATAAACTCAACAGTGGGTAGCTTGTAGCCAGAATGCATAAATAGACATATATGACTATGTGTCAAACCTCTCTTTTGATATTCAATGGTATAAACAACTGCAAAATATCAAAAAAACATATGGTTAGATCGTAAAAATATATAAAAAATATAGAATAATATGAGTAATGTTTTATCAATAATGAAAAAACATATTTTTTATTACATGCTTGAACTTTGCCGAAAATCTTATTCTTCCTTAAGTCTTTAATAAATGAATCAAGCTTGATCTTGAATAACCTACATAGTATATCAGGTGTGTCTTCAGGTTGAAGTGAAGTATCCTTAAGAAACCTTTTAATCTATATCCATTTGGGATTACACGTAAAGGTTATGAAGAAAGCCGGATATCCAAACCATTTACATAGTGACATGGCATACAAATAGTTTTGCAGCATATAGCGTGCACCACCGGTAAAGGAGGACGAATGTAATATCACACATTGGCCGACATTGGATATATTAGTGTTTCCTTGAGCTTTTTGGATACGTAAATTCTCATAAGACTCGCATCTAAGAATATGTTGTTGCCTATGTATGTAATGCAATCTCTCCGTTTCCATCATAATATAGGCATCTACCAGAAATTGTTGAAACAACCTTTTGAATTAAGAATGAGTGAGAATGAATGATCTCTGTCTTGAATTCTAAAAGCGAAAAATTCTATCATTGTACATTTTGCCCGCTTGCTGTTGGTTGTAGATGACACACCTCTATGAAGAATATCAACACTGTAACCATCATCCCATATGTAAAATAGTAGTGGATATTGGAGAGGAAGGTACGAAGGATGCAATTCATTGATACATTGTAGAAATCCAGTTTTTGTTTCAACAACAATATCCCTCTTTTCAACTGAATCACAAATATCACCTACAATCAAAGCGGCAACTTCAGAAACAGTTGGTAGATTATATGTTCTTGCATCTCGATCCCTTCTCCCGATAAGTCGTAACTTCATATCAACTTGAGGATTTTTTTTGAAAAGTATCTCTTGTCATTCTATAAGATCTAACCAAGACATTATTTGAATCTAACATAACCTTAATATCTTCAATAATATCAGTATCATTTGATGTAGTTCGATCCTTTTCACCACTAAAAGAATTTAATTTATACATAATAATATATTAGAAAAAAATAAAAATAATATAATTAATTATGAATAAGAAGTTTGAAAAAAATACCCAAAGCATGATTGTCTATTTGAAATTTCGTTACCAGTATGCAGTATCATAAATATATAACTGAGAGAATTTTGGTTGCGATTCTTTTGATGGTAAAAGACTTCCAATATTATGATAATTTTGACCACTCGGTCTGAAAACGTATGGAACGTTTCCTCTATTGATTGAAGAATCCATTTTACCACCCATCGACGTAAACGAAAACATTTAATTGTAACGTCGAATGTTTTTCATGAAGTTTTTGCTTCTAGATTCCGTTGCTCGAAAATATTTTTTCATAACTTGGGGGGTGCTTTCCATTTTACCACCCATCGACGTAAACGAAAACATTTAATTGTAAACGAAAATATTTTTTCATAACTTGGGGGGTGCTTTCTTTAAATCTGGAAGTTGAACTTTACCAGAACCACAACATAATGAATAATCCATGTTTCCTTTTTCTTTACCTCTAACGAATTCATTTGTCCATAACTTTGCATGACATGTTTTACATACAACATTTTGATCATCATGATCCATATATTCTGCAAAATAAAAGTCGTAGAAAAAATAATATTTAATTTTGTAACTATATACAACACAATATTTGAATTGTAAAAAAATAATAATGGAAATATTTTTTATTACCTTTTGAAATACCAATTATTAGGTTTTCAGATATGACTTCATGTATATTTTGTACATCTTCTATCAAGTCAATTAACAGAATAGGGGATAAATGTTTCGACTTCCTTTTAAATTTATGACATCCTGGATTTAACTTGATTGATGATGAAGAAGCAGTTATTGTCAATGCATTTTTTGATGTCATATCATTTGAAAGTACATAATATTGTCTTTTGTTTGGTAAATTGGAAGTGGCGTAGTTATCGAAGCTAATATTACCTGAACAAAAGAAAAAAAGTCAGGATATATAAATTATATAGAAAATGGATAATAGTTTATTTTTAAAACAAAAAAATATTACCGTTTGTAATGTTAGATAACGGAGTTCTAACATTTATAAGCGAATGAGAATATAGTACGGATGTATTTTGGATCCCACACGTATTATATTATAAAAACTAACATTTGACAAATGTTATTATACTGCTCCTAAGGGCACATCAAGCTCCAGTGTTCGCTACAGTCTTTCATACAGTGTTTGCTTTGACTTCCTTCTCCTGTGTTCCTTCCTTCCTTGTTTCCCACCATCTCATGCCCATTTTCTTACGAGAAGACACACCGCCTTTCTTCCCTTCTCTCTTTCTCTCTCTCTAAACAAAATATTTCTCTTTCTCTACAAGAGATTAATCAGCCGAAGCGGCCACCACCTCCACCATCGCTTCTGTCGTCCTACTTCCCAGATGTCTGTGTGTATGGGCAAGGGATGAACTGAGAATGGGAAAGAAAAGAAACATCTAGGAGAAAGAGAGAGAACAGAGATCGAGGTTGGGGGAGGAGGCAACACAGTTGTGGTGGCATATGACATCGCCGAAGAGGTGGTGGTTACCATATTTCTTCCTTTTTCACAGCGTAAAACATTTTCTCCCCCTCCCTTTCTCATTTTTTCTTTCGATTTCATTTTGTTGGGGTTGAAACACACTTTTATTCAGAACTAGAACAAAAGAGAAGAGCTTACACGCTCAATATTACAAGAAAAAGAAACAACCCTCTAATACTCACTCTAAGTATTACACAGTACACTCTCTGTTTTGTGGTGTCTTACAACTGATATTACAACTTCTATTTATACTAAAGCTAGCCACTATAAGTACTGTGACAATTTATTGTGTTCACCGTGTGAAATAAAGAAGCTGCAAATTCTAGTTGTTATTGTCAACAAAGGAGGCATTCATTTGTCAACAAAAGAGGGTGGTGCAGCTACTCATGGCAGGTTCACACCCAAGTAGGTTTACACTCACATTCTCCCCCTTAAACCTAACTTGGCTCGAGATTCGTCACTCCGATCATGTTTCGCATTTCACCATGTTTCACGTATGCTAAAGCCTTTGTAAAGATGTCCGCCCGTTGATCCTTCGAGTTGACATATTCCACTATAATTTGCCCACGTTCAACACATTCTCATATGAAGTGATAAAGAATGTCAATGTGTTTGCTTCGACCATGAAACACAGGATTTTTCATCAATGCGATTGCTGACTTGTTATCGACATATAAGGTGATAGGCATAATATGATGTCCCGTGAGCTCCTTCACGAGATTAGCAAGCCAAATGGCTTGACATGCTGTTGTTGTAGCTGCCATGAACTCGGCTTCACACGTGGACAAAGCAACAGTCTTTTGCTTTTGGGATTGCCAAGTTATCGCATTCCTTCCCAGATAGAAAATCATTCCACTTGTGCTCTTGCTATCAACAGGGTCACCTCCAAGATCACTATCGGTAAAACCAACCAAATCTTCAATTTCACGACCTCTTCCATAGTTGATTCCATAATCAACGGTTCCTTTTACGTATCGCAAGATGTGTTTCACAACTTGGAAATGCAAAGTGGTTGGTTCCTCCATGAAACGACTTGCAATTCCAACCGAAAATGACAGGTCTGGTCGAGTGTGAGTCAAGTACCTTAAACAACCTACCACTCGCCTATATTCAGTTGGATCAACTTTTTCACCATCTTCATCCTTCTTGACCTTCAACTTAGGTTCCATTGGTGACGTTGTCGGATTGCAATCCAGCAACCCAAATTGCTCTAAAATTTTCTTTGCATAAGCCGTTTGTCGCAAAGATATTCCCCACTTCTTTTGCGAAACTTCGATTCCAAGGTAGTAAGAAAGTAATCCCCTTGGCCCAATCTCACTAGAAGGGCTTTCCATATGGGGTGATGTTGAAGAAAACGGGGCTGAGACAGGAGTATGTGGAGCTGGTTCAGGCTCGTCAAATTCAGCATATGGTTGTCCAACTTGGATAGCATCGATTCCTGGGCTGTTTGGTTGTTCCGGATTGATTTCGGGGTCATTTTGAGGTGTTTTGAGGTGTATTTGGGGTTGTGGTTCAATTATGGTAAAGGTCTTAGGAGTCGCCATCTCTTTTTCTTTGTTTTTGTACCAATTCCATTCTTCTTTTTCGTCAAAAACAACATCGCGACTAACTCGCAACTTTCGGTCTTGCGGATCAAACAAACGGTTGCCTTTAGTTCCATCTTCCACACCTAAATACACCATCTTCTTACTTCGATCATCAAGCTTCTTCAAGTGATCACCTACAAGTTTAGCAAAAGCAACACAACCAAAAACTTTTAGATGTTCAAGGTTGGGCTTTTTGCCAAACCACGTTTCATAAGGCGTCTTGTCGGGAAGTACTTTTGTTGGCAGACGGTTGAGAAGATAAACTGCATGTCTAACCGCTTCTCCCCAAAACTCTCCCGGAACATTTCTACCTTTGAGCAGACTTCTTGCCATGTCCATAACGGTCCGATTTCGCCTTTCTACAACTCCGTTCTGTTGAGGCGAATATGGTGTCGTAAGATGCCTTTGAATACCATTTTCTTCACAAAATAATGAGAATTCTTTTGAAGTGAACTCTCCCCCTCGGTCCGTTCGAAGTGTCTTTATTTTATAACCCGAATTCTTTTCAACCATCAACTTGAACCGTTTGAAAGCGCTCAAGGCTTGAGACTTCTCCGATAGCATGTAAACCCACATCCACCGGCTAAAATCGTCTACTAAAAGGAGAAAATATTTACTCCCTCCAACAGACGTAGGTGTGATCGGACCACATAAGTCCGCATGAACAAGTTGTAGAGGTTTTTGAGCTCGAAAAACTGCATGATTCGGGAAAGGAATTCGGGTTTGTTTGGAAAGAACGCACCCTTCACATACTTGGTTTGGGTGCTCAATCTTTGGGACTCCGATTGCCATATTCTTTTCGGACAACTTCTTTAAGGCGAGAAAGTTAACATGACCGAGTCTAGAATGCCATATCCAAGCTGGTTCGTCTTTTGTTGCTAAAAGACAAGTCGGTCTACCGGTCCTTAAAGGAGTTTTATATAACCGGTTTGGGGATCGTTTAACTCTCAAAAGTAGAGTTTTGTTTCTGTCAAACGATGTCAGATCCGACCCATCCATTATGACCCGACTCCCTTCCTCCGTCATTTGTCCAAGACTAATAATATTGTTTTTTAGACTTGGAATGAAATATACCTCATTAAGGAGTCTTTGGTCGCCATTTTTGCTATCGAATAAAATCGACCCTTTTCCCAAAATAGCGACGGTCGAACCATCCCCAAATTTCACATGGCCCGTAACGTGCTCATCTAGTTCCCGAAACTTTGAGCGGTCTCCAGTCATGTGATTGCTAGCACCGTTGTCGAGATACCATACCTTAGACTCGACTCGACTTTCTCCCGATGCAAGAAGATTAACACAAATCTTCTCTCTTAGAGACACTTTTTGTGTGCATATTCTTGTGAGGTTGCCATCATTAAAATAGGCTCTTCTTTGTTGGCTTGAGTGAGGTTTGCCTCCTCACCTCGATTCTTGTTTGGACACTCCGAAGCATAATGACCAAATTGTTCACAAGTAAAGCATTTGATTTTACTTTTATCCTTTCGAGAAGGATTATGGTCATTCCGATTTGTATTGTACTCGCGACCACCTCCTTGGCCACGTCCACGACCTCGGCCTCGTCCCCGGCCTCGATTACCATGTCCTCCTCGTCCTCTTGAAGTGTTTGACGAGTTTCTCTCGCCAGTTTGCTTCGAACGAGATGCCCACTCGGCATGTGTAAGCAATAGAGAAGGTCCTTCTTCTTTTTCTCCATAGCTTCGAAGTC